ATCAAGACGTACGGGGAAAAGCAGCTCACGCTCGACCTTCGCTTACAACGTCCCATCGTTTGGAAATTTCACGTTGCAGCGGTCGCCGCTCCCATAATCGGAGCAGATCTGCTTAATTACCACGGTCTTGTCGTTGACCTGCATTACCACAGATTAATCGACCCGATTCGAAATGTGTCAAGCGACGGTTACCTCATGCCGTATGAGATTTCTTCTGTCAGCGCTCTTGACCACAGATGTCTCCAGAAGTTTCGAGTTCAATACCCGGAAAACGCATAACTTCCCTTGAAGTTTTCCACCACATCGAAACCACAGGCCCTCCGGTCGCCGAACGAGCCAGGTGCCTCGACCCCGAAAAGTACAAGGCCGCTGAAGCCGAGTTTGACGAGCTTATCAAACAAGGCATCTGTCAGTGCTCCAAAAATCCTTGTGCGAGTCCTATACACATAATGCGAAAGAAAGACGGAAAATGGCGTATTTGCGGTGATTACCGTCAAATTCTCCATACCTCATTTTCACAACTATTCTGTGAATCTGCACGGAAAAACGATTTTCTCAAAACTCGATCTTCATAGAGCTTACTATCAGATTCCCGTCGCACCCACTGACGTCATAAAATCCGCAGTCACTACACCCATCGGTTTATTCGACTACGTTTTCATGCCTTTCGGCTTCCGCAACGCCGTTCAATTGTTCCAACGATACACCAGACAAGTGCTTCAAGGTCTGGATTTCGTTTTTAACTACCTTGACGACATTCTCGTCTCGTCCGTCGACGCAGACGAACATGAGAAGCATTTGCGTATCGTGCTGGAACGATTAAAGCTTGCAGGCTTGAAGCTCAACTTGACCAAGTGTGAATTCGGCAAGAGCGAGCTCGTCTTTTTGTCGCACCTTATCAACAGTGAAGGCTCGAAGCCCACTGACGTAACGGTTTGTGCGATCGTCGACTTTCCAAAGCTCAAAACAATTTCTGCTCTTCGCTTATTTCTGAGCATCATCAACTTTTACCGTCGTCATCTCCCGCACGCGGCTACCGAACAAGCGCCGTTGTACGAATATACACACAACGCGCGCAAAAACGACCAAAGGCCCGTCGCTTAGACTCCGGAAGCTGAGCGAGCGAGCTGCGAGCAGCTGATCGACAGTGTTTGGCGATCTATGGGATTCTTCTCCCGTGAATTTAGCAAAGCTCAGCTAAGTTACGATACTTACGATCGTGAACTGACTGTAGTCTACGAGGCAGTCAAGTATTTCAAAGACTTCCTCGAAGGCAGAGACTTCAAAATTGTGACTGATCACAAACCGCTTATACAGGGTGTTCCATTTTAAAGGAACCACCCCGAAATTTTCGACGGTTGGCGTTGTACAAAAAAATTGTTCAGACAACAGTTGTTTGGGACAATGGGGGCAACCTTTCTGTGAAATCCGATTTGACCTTGAGATTTATTTTCAACGTCATTTGAAGGTCAAAGTCATTGTTTGAATAGGAACCTATATTTTTGATCCCGGATTCGGAAAGAGCGGAAAATTCTACGTTTAGATAACGTATTATGTGTGGGGTTCCGTTACCCCCCCCCCCCCCCGCCTAAGGTCATGTAAGGGTCAAATTTATGATTTTCTTCATCTATGCACAGGGATAATCGGGCAAGGATAAGGTTAATTGTAATAACACAATAACTCCAACACTCAATAACTCGATAACCCAAATAACCCCAATAACACAATAACCAAGAGATATTTTGAATAAGGACCCCCATTTTTTATCCTGGATTCGAAAAGAGCGGGAAATTCTACGTTTAGATAAAGTAATATGTTGGGGGAGCGGTTCACTCCCCCCCCCCCATCCCACCGGGGCAAGGGTGAGGTTAATAAGGTATTGATTACCCAGCCAGTGAAGGCAAGGTATTGATTACCCAGCCAATGAAGGTAAGGTATCGATTACCCAGCCAATGAAGGCAAGGTATTGATTATCTAGCCGGGTATTGCGGGTAATACCTTGCCGCAGCACGAAATCGGCCTTGATATGCCCCGAGAGACAACAGAATATCAACAATTTCGTTTCTCGAATAATCCGGCATATTCCCTTCTTTTAAGTCGACTAAGAAAATTACACTTGAACTATCCTGAGAAGGACTGTTCGCGAATCACTATTGTCATAAACAATACTAAAAAAGTGTTATTAAACAATTTAGTTGAAACTTTGTAGGCTTGTCCGGAATCACACCAGAAAAAAGAATGGAAATAACATGTTATCCCACAAAATGGAAAATGACACTTCTCATAAAGGCTTTGAATACATGAAGTCGACTTTGAAAATCAACCTGAAGTTTAAGCTCAAGGTCACTGTTGTTTGACCCTACAATTATTTTGGGATATATTGGGGTTATCGGGTTATTGGGGTTATCGAGTTATTGGGTATTGGAGTTATTGGTTTATTACAATTAACCTTACCGTTGCCCGATCATCCCTGTGCATAGATGAAGAAAATCATAAAGTTGACCGCTACATGACCTTAGGCGGGGGGGGGGGGGGTTATTGTTATGGTTAGGGTTATTACAAACAAAAACCACATATAGTATTAGCGCAACTTATAAAGAGATTTCCCATTCGTGCCTGCTCTTTTCGTGCTCGTAAATCCGTCGAAAGTTTTTATAACCGCTAATAGTAGTAAAATGCTCGAGTTTTCTCTTATTGCTGAGACGTGCCATTAGGCTATTTTTCGGCGACACGTGTGCGACAGAAGCGAGGTAAACACAGACCGTAGGCAATAAATTATTAAGAGAGACAAAAAGGAAAGATGATGGTCAGTCTCCGCGGTCGAGCTATGCCGTTTTTTGGAGATTACCGACGCACACCCTCGAAACAAATTCTATTGGGTTTTCCCGACATGCATAAACTCCATCCAGAACATTGATCTAGTTTTGTATTCTAAAGGTCCAAAAGAAAGCCGATAGGCCGCTTGCTGTCAAACGCACGGGGACGCCATTGCAACTGTACGCGCGCCGAGGCATCGTTTTTTGATTAGTACACACGTCTTTCGATATGTTGGTCATTTGAATTTTTAAGTCTGATTTCTGTAGAAAAAACTTTTCGGAATCCATTGAAACAAGAATTAAAAAAAATACTACTTCTGAGTTATTCGCAATTATTTAACATAAAACTTAATAACTTTTGCCCAAAAAAATTACATTTATTCTTGTAATGAATTAGAAAGATTAACGTATTTTAAAATAAGTTTAACTTCGATATCTTTATTACTTATTGAAATGTAGCTTTTCGAAAATTTATCATCATTTTTCCTTAATAGTTAATAACTTTTGGTATAATTAATAGTTCGAAAAAAAGTATAGGAAAAATTTATTTCAATATTTACAATTGTGTGAAATTTTTAAAACAATCTGTGACCTAGTTTTGTTAGGCTAGTGAAATGGCCACGAATCACTCATCTACTAAAGTAGAGAGAACTTTTCGTGCACACCTCCAGGTCTTGGGGGCATTGGATTTCATTGGAGGCATTGTTAGCTGCAGTTACAATAAATTGATACTTGCGTAAGATCAAATCTCTCAGCCACCACCAGATATATATATTGGTAAAACACGAAATAAATACGACAACTTTTTTTTATTTTAAACCATGCTTGATGTTTGCCAATCGTTGACATCGATCCTATTCATTCTGGTAAGAATTAATTTTTATTTGATTTATCTTTTGCTTGATTTCGCGCACGTTTTTAACACGAACTGTATGCGCTATAGTATCTGGTTATCTAGTAGCTAATTGAAGCAGCAGTTAACCTCGCTTCGGGGGACAATTTCGTTAACAATGATGAGTATTATTTCGTTCGAATGAATAATCATTATATTTCACCCATCGTTACACAGTATATCAAACTAATGTTATTTAAATTATTCCGTGTTTACACTAATTTGACCAAGATTCGAGAGCTTATTTTCTTCCATGAAAAAGACTTCATAAAAGTTACTTAAATTGTTTTAATATAATTCCATTTTAAAGTAAAATGAACCACCCTTTTAAACTTAAAATATAAGTGATATCTAAAAAATCAATAAAAAATAACCTTTTATTTGACATTTTGTGATTTAACTTTCCTTGAATAAGAATTTTGGTAGAATTAATATGTACATGTAACATGTGGAATAAAAAAGTAGTTAAACTTGCATGCATATAATATAGGTAAGATATATGCTAATAAGATCAGGTAAATCTCAAACATGTTCTTGTTATAAAGTAAAATATGTGATTAAAATTTTTGAATATTACATAGAGAATATTAAAAATGTTGTATAAAAATGTTGAAAAGAAAACTGAAAAATTTGATTAATAATCCCGCTTAAAAAATCTACATGCATTCTATAATGAAGCTATGTCAGTAATAACGGTATTAAACGTCATGCAATCTTTCAAGATCGGAAAATATAATTTCGTTGAAAGTTTTCAAGGTATATTATATTAATTATTATATTAATACCGTTTTAGTTATATTCATATAATATATGAGCAAAAGTTTCTATAAAATAATGATTAATAAAAGCAGTGTCTTATAAAGTAAGGAAAATAATTCATCAAAAGACTCGAAAATTTTAAGTATGTTCATAAAATATAAGAATAAAGTCTAATTAAACTTACAGTTTGCAGTAGAATTTTACGTTACATAATTTGTTTTAATTTTGAAACTGACTAGATTCCTTACTTTATGATGGAACAGTTAATATTTTTGATGTGAAATAAGTTCAAATCAATCATAAGGAAATTCTTTCAAATCACTTTCTGAGAAACAGCTTCTTATTGGTAAAAATAAAAAAAATTATATACATTTTTAAGTAAAAACGAAATGATATAAATGATCATTGGTGTGAAAAAATGAAGCGTGTTAAAACCTGTTTTAGTCAGTAGAATTTATCTATATATGATTTATCTGTTTGTGTCTATGCATGCGTACTCGTGTGTGTATATGTGTGGATGAAGCAGCTCTTACATGATCAATGTTGATTTCTCCTTTATACATGAACTCGACGAGTACCTTGATGTCAGAAAATTTAACATCACGCATGATCACTATTGGATCTTTTTCCTCGTATTGAGACAAGATTGTATCGAAGTACGTACTGCACGCAGACAGGACCACCTGCGAAAAAAAGAATATAATCTAAGATAAGTTTATTATTAAATTAGATTGGAAAAAATCGTACCGATGCGATAAAAGCTATTAAATAAGACTGAGCATAATGTGTCATTTATGTTTTCTAAGTAAGGAAGACTTTCCATTAAAATTACAAATCGATATGTAAAATTTCTATTTGGAAGCGTGACTTGTATTTGAAAGACCTTTTTTTTGTTATAAAAAATTATAAACATACCTAAATTTTGCGACTACCGAAATATTTGGTTTTCTTAAGTTTTCCACAATATGTCAGTTAATTTTAAAAATATGGGAAATATTTTCAAAGCTATTTAAAAGATTTATATTAGCACCATTTTTTCTGATAATGCAATTTTAATAAAATTCTGTTTATGTTCCTTCTTTTAGAAGTAGTATATTTTAATTTTTCTTAGATTTTATAAGAAAATAAAATAAAATTCTTAGATTTAAAGCCTGACTCCCGAGCGCTTTTTTGTCAGTTAATGTGTGTATAACAGACCTCTGGAAAGGGATATAACATTTTTTAAGTTTTAATGGCGAGAGTATAACGGGATAATATAGGGATAGTGTAGTTATATAAGACGTTATACCCGGCATCTGGTAGAACTGAGCAAGCGGGTTCCCCGACTTCGTCATTTCAGTATATCAGAGTCCAGATGATATCTTCTTTATTAACCCATTAAGACTCAGGTTAAAAATGTCAGTGATAGCACCCAACTAACTACGCCGTAATTTGCATAATCGAAAAAAATTACTCATGTTTCTTCTTGTGTTATTTGCAATTGTTTATAAGAAGTTATTTAAACAAATAATCATAAAAATCATTATTTTTAATAACTAATCGCAACAATCGATTATACGGGAAAAATCACGAAGAATACCTATGACGTTTTTGCAATTGCATGTTATTACCGTTTTACACCAACAAATTGTCTTTTGAGGAAGAAACGTGACAGAGATTTTCTTCATGATTTTCTCCGTATAATCGATTGCTGCAATCCGTTTTACAGAATAATAACTTTTATGATAATTTTTTTAAGTAATTGTAAATGACAAAAGAAAAAACACTGGTATTTTTTTTCAATTATGCAAAGGATGGCGTAGTTATTTGGATGTTATCACTGCCAGTTTTGGCCTGAGCTTTAATGTGTTAAAGCTGTGGGAGCGTATAATAAAAAACAAGAAGTTGAAACAGGGTGCTATGGACTTACTCGAGTAAAGAATATTCTTAGTAGTAGCGGTGACAACAACCAAAAATATTCACAAGAAGATAATAAATGACTATACTGCATTATGTCACATATGAGGCACCTGATTAAAAGCAGGAAGAAAAACGCAGAGGCCACCTTCCAAATGGAGCAGGACAGAGCTCTAAAGCAAGTAGCACAAATAAAAGAAGGGAGCAAGAAGATACCAACACCTAGCTCTTCCATACAAAAAAGGACTACAAAAGTATAAATTGTGGAGGACTGCAGCGGTCAACCAAACCAAACTCGTTTCTTCAACAAACCTTGAAGAAACTTTGAAAACATGCGAGCAGATGTATAAGTCATCATGCACGAATTGTTTGTGTTTAACGTGGCGCGTTGTTGGCGTTGGTTGCAAAATTTTGAAGTGATGCCTTAGCATTTCCAAGAACGTCGTCAGGGTTGATGATGCGTTGTCCGTGAAAAAGAATTCTCCAGTCACCCTTATAGTTGTTCCCAGTAGAAGTTCTGTAACGGATGATTTTATGCCTTCCTTGTACGACGTTCGCAATCCTAATAGGACTGTGCGTAGTAGATCAGTCCAGCGCGACTGCGGCTGGCAAATTATTGCGGCTTTTTGGGTCCGATGCCACCGTTCAACCATCCCAATCGATTATGGATGATACGGGGTTGTCCAGATTCTGGATGCACGGATGATTTTGCTAGAGCTAAAAAAAGTGCTGACTCGAATTTGTCGTTAGCATCAAGGGAGTTCTGAATATCTCAATCCAGTCTGCGTAGAATGCTGCCGCTACCGTTTCTGCCTGCATGTTTTTCATCGGAGTCCCTTGCGACCACCTAGTGAATCGGTCAATAACAGTTAAACAATATCTGTCTTCATATACTTGTGACATGATAATGATGTCCCGATGGAGATGGCAAAAACATGCTTCCGGTATTATTATTTTCCTTAGCAGAGTGCGGGTATGTTGATCAATTTTCGCACGTTGTCAGACAATGCGTTCTTTTGCCTATTTGACAGCACCTTTCCTGATTTCAGACCAGACGAATTTTTCTTTTAACTTTCTGCACGTCTCGCAGCTGCTCGAGTGAGCGAAACCGTGCACAACCTGAAACGTTGTTCTTCTTAGTAATGACAGCAGGTAAGGTTTTACCGTACCTGATGATATATCGCATTACAGAGTAACTTCTTCTATTTGAAGTAGCTGCAAATGGAGAGACGTAGTCGTCTCTTTGTCGGGAAAGGTATTCGGAGATTCCTGTGCTTTACTAATTGTCCTTGCATCTAGCTTCGTTGGCGTAGTGATAGCATAAAATCCCTATCTTCGACTACATGTACAAAGTTTTTTAACGTTACAAATACAGCTATAAGTTTCCTATCATACGGACTATACTTCTTCTCTGCTTCGGATAGTTTCCTTGAGTAAGAACCGAGTGGTACTCGCTTACCGTTTACTACTTGTTATAACGATCCTCCGATTGCTGACGACGAGACATCTGTCGAGAGCATAACGACTGCATCAGGGCGGAGGAAGCCATCGTGGCTTTTGCTAATGATTTTGTAGTTGACTCGAAGGCTTAAGTCAACTCTAGATTCCAATTAATTTTTTCTTGTCCCTCTTTTTGGCACCTTTTAACTTTCATTCAGGATAGCCTGGTCTGTCGCTTTTCCTTGCAAGTGCACCCGGAAGTAGTTTACCGCTCCTAGGTACCTTCTCAGATCCCAGATCGTCTCCGGTCTCGGATAACTTAGAATTGCTTCGACCTTTTCTTCTGGTGGTTTGAACTCTTCTGCACTAACAGAGAATCCTAGAAAATGTACTTTCTTTTTAGCGAAGTGACATTTTTTACTAGTATTAACTTTTGACTGAGCAGTATCTCGAGCACCGTTTGTAGCTGTTGTTCCTGCTGACTCGTTGACAAAGCGAGAATGTCGTCGATGTAGGTTGTTACAAAGTCTAAGTGTCCAAATAAGCTGTGTATGAACCTTTGAAAGGTTTTCGTTGCGTTTTTAAGATGTTCCACAGTTACCGTTGGGGCGGAAATTTGGCCTTCAGTTGCGACGAATTTTGCATGGAAACTGTCGATTAGATGCTTTATTTCTGCGTGCGTTTCGTCGTCTGCTAGTTGAGCTGGAGACAAGACGAAAATTGTAGAACCTGAGCCATCTTGATTTTTCCTTCAACACCTAACTCAAAAGAGTCATCTCATTAATGAGCCGGTGTCTCTTGAGATCTAGAATTAAGCCATAATACGTGAAAAAATCGGCTCCTAAAATAGATGTTTTTACATCAGCTTATATGAAAGACCAATTAAAATTTCGCATGAGACCCAAGTCTATTGGCAAGACTTTGTATTAAAACGTTCGGATTTTCAAACAATTTGCGGCTGTTAATTGCGGCACTGTCTCTGCCTCCATAGCCGTCGCAGGATGAGGAATTATTCAGACTATGGAACCGCTGTCCACAAAAAAGACTACGCCGGGCAATCTGTCAACGACGTGAAGTCTACTTTCCCTCTAACTCTTTAGTGATTGAATTGGAAACTACATCAGGGCTGCTGCAGACCCTGATTGGGCAGCAGCCCGGCTAGTTTCTCGGGTTGCTAAGAAGCGGTTTGAAAGTGCAGGGAAACCTGCACTTCGTAGCATTCATGCCAAGCTTGGAGTGGAAGTAGCATACTTTATTTGCATGCTGCCTCTGCCGTGACTTCGATCTGCTTTTGTTGTTTTGTTGACTGTTAGTAGACGACCTTGCCTTTCGTCGTTGCTCGTCGACCAGGTCATTGACTCATGCCGTCAGGTCTTTTGTTGCTGAAAGTAATTCAAGCATGAGATTCCTAAGTTCATCAATGTCTGACGTACTTTGCTGAGTTCCCAAGACGTTTGCTGTAGTGTTGAATGCAAAAAACGCTGGCGAATAGGGCACTTCAACGCATGAATCTGCTGCATCAAACATTTCAACAGTTGTACTACTTTTGAATACTTTCAGGATCGTCTGGACGTTCATTGGGAGCAGAGAGAGTCATTTTGTCTTGAGTAGAGGGTCTTCTGCAATCGATACACCTGCTGAACTCTTCATTTTCTTGTAATGTTATGACGGTTATCTCTAGTTGGATTTTATTAAGTAGCATGTCAAGATTTTTCTCAGTGGAGTCTCAAAATCTCTAAATGAGGTGCTGTTTGAGCGCTTCATATTTGTCCATTGTCAGAGGATCTCTCAGGGGATCCCTGACTTCTTTGAAGGCGCACTGTCGAAGCGCAGCGATGACCGCGTAGTATTTTAAATTATCGTTTGTAATCCAACCAGATTTCAGCTGGGCCTCCGCTTTCAAGAACCAGCTTTCTGGGTCGTCTATCCATAAAGGCCCCGAAATTTGGAGGGCAGGGATCGTCACAGCAATGGAAGGGTCATTCATGGTTCGTTCAGGCATGTCGTCTGGCTCTACGTCGCACTGTATTCTATATTTAAAAAAATGGACAAAATGAAGTATCTCGCGTCTTTGAATTTTTCTTATAATGATGTTTCCTATTTTAACGAAATTCATCAATTTTGTAAAAAAAATAGTAGGTTGTCGGATATTTCTAACACGAGATTTTTGTTCAGCGAAGGAAAATATGTGAAAATATACATTCAGTTTGTCTAACTCGGATACTTACTTTGTCGAAAGCTAATCTATCTTTGGTTGAAACTATAGTTGATGAGTGTGACACCTTGACCTCTCATATCTCAGCCGAATCTCGATGAAACATTTGTGAAATGTATATTTTTATTTCTC